GCAGGAGGCAGTCAATTGATGACTCTCTCTCCCTCTCCCTTCCTCTCTCTAAATCAATAAAAGTATATTAAAAATTTCATTTTTTCTCCTTTGTGATATTCTGTGCTTTCCATGACTGCTGTATTAACCGGTGAGTACTCTTGTAATTAGCATAAAAAGATACCCCCCCCCTTTTTTTAAAGAGCCCACAGACACCAATGCTTTTTGGGACTGAGGGCCAGCAGGAGGGGGGTTGGGGTGCTAGGCTCAGGGGTAGTTACCTCTCTGCTTCCTGGGATAAGGACTCCACTTTGCGCGAGAGCAGCCGTTCACTCTGCATCAGCTGGTACACCCCAACATCTACGTCGTTGACAGGAGAGACCTTGGCATGTGGCCCCCGGGCAAACTTTACAATCTGAGGGACAGGGACAAATTACTGCTGCCCCAACCACAAATGCTGAGACATCCCCAGGCAGGAATGCTGGTGGGCATGTCAGTAGATGCTTAATAAGTAATTGGGGAGTCAGTGAATGAACAGCTGAACTCCATACCTTTTCCCCATTCTGCTCGAGGACTGTGACTCTCTTCTCTTTCTGTAGCTGTAGCAACACCAAGTAGAAGGTCCTCTCGTCGGGACAGGAGCCCGCACAGAGGGTACTCAGCTCTGACAAGGCCACCACAGGGTGGGAGGAGAGAGGTGAGCTCTGATACAGACGATACACCTCCTCAGCCTTCTCCTGCAGGCAAGGCAAAACATGCTCACAAGCACTGACCACCACCCACAGAACCCGGCAAGCCCTGACCCCCTGCTTCCAAACAAGGATCATGCAGGGCATGAACAGGGAAAATCGAGACATCTTCCCTAAAGCCACGGCTTTGAAAAGAAAAAGGATTTGTGTTGATCTAGCCAGTTTGGCTCAGTGGTTAGAGTGTTGGCCCCTGGACTAAAGGGTCTTGGGTTCTATTCTGACAAAGGGCACATATCTCAGTTGCAGGCTCGATCTCTGGCCCCGGTCAGGGCGTGTGTGGGAGGAACCAATCGATGTCTCTCTCTCACATCCATGTTTCCCTCTCTCTCTCTCTCTCTCTCTCTCTCTCCCCTCCCCCCACCTTCCATTCTCTCTGAAAAAGCAATGGAAAAAATACCCTCGGGTAAGGATTAAAGAAGAAAATAAAGAAAAAGGTTTTATGTTTTTTTGTTAATACTCACCTGAGGATATTTCTCCATTGATTTTCAGAGAATGGGAGGGAGGAGGAGGGAGGAAGGGAGGAAGACGGAGGGGGGGGAAGAGAGAGAGAGAGAGAGAAACATCAATGTGAGAGAGACGCATCGATTGGTTGCCTCCCACACGTGCCCTGACCGGGGCCAGGGATCAAACCTGCAACCCATGTACATGACCTTGACTGGGAATCAAACCAGAGACCCCTTGGTGCATGGGCAGACACTCTAACCACTGAGCCACAAGGCTGGGGCAAGGATTTGTGTTTTTCAAATGCTGGAGGAGCCCGGCTGGGAGTGGCTTAGCAGTTGAGCATTGACCTAGGATCCAGGCGATCAGGATTCGATTCCCGGTCAGGGCACATGCCCAGGTTGTGGGCTCGATCCCCAGTTTGGGGCATGCAGGAGGCAGCCGATCAATGACTCTCTCATCATTGATGTTTCTATCTCTCCTTTCCTCTCTCTGGAATCAATAAAAATATATATTTAAAAAAATAAATAAATAAAAGAGCAATGATATGGAGTATAAGTCTATATGGTGTTTACAGATCAGACGGGAAGGGGAAAGAGTAGAAGCACTTCCATCTTGTACAAGTATAATATTTCTCTCTCTCAAAGGTTACTATAACCTTGTCCACAGCAGTTTTGGCAGACTGGTAGGACTGCAGTAGGTGTGCACTCAGTCAAAGAGAGTGTGGGAGGTGAGAAAGTGGTGACAACAAAAGCTTGGACCAGAAAGAGACAGAGTGGGAACTAGGCAAGGGCCCAGGTCCCACACAGGACTCGAGTGGGTTTAGAGGCTGAAGATGGTGAGCACCAAAAGAGAGGGAGATGGAATACACAGATCATGCTACAGAATAAAGTATAGAATAAGGGAGGTCAGGTAAACTCAGTTATTGCCTGTCACCATGTAAAAAGATATGTTCTTTTTCTAGTGATACATACAAGAGATGCTGAGGAGCCTGTGATCACACAAGATGACACCCAGACCTGTCCCTTCTGAATACCTACCTTAAGCAGCTCCACAGCCACAAGCACCTCCTCAGCAGGAACCTTATTATCCCCTAGCATGTTGGAAAGAGTCCACTTGAGGGGCTTCAGCAGGAAGACTCCAACGCCCCAGGAGATCCAACTGCTGTCTACACTGGCCATGAAGTCTGACTCCCGCTGCAGCTCCCCTCGACTGCAAAAAAAGAAAGGGGCATACAGTAGGCGTAATGCAATGTCCCATTCCAGTCGCTAGATCCCTCTTACCCCAAATGAGGAATCTGATCATGATCACCATCAGCACCATTTATTAGGCAGCCACTCTGTGCCAGCTATGATGAGCAGCTACTGTTTACACTCCAGCTCTAAGCCACACAACTCATTTTAGCTAATGAGAAAACTGAGAGGTGAGAAGGTGAGAGAGGCCAAATCTAAACCATAATTTGGCTCCAAAACAGAAGCTCTCCACTAAGACTGCAGAGGCATAGAAGGCTGCAGGGCCTATGATGAGACTTTTACAAATGAAGCTCAAAAACGATAAAATGAAAATAACAATAATGGATCACTGTGAAATGCAAGGCATAATGAAGAATACAAAGAAGTCAGAGAAAGGGTTTTCTGCTATTCCCAAGGTAGGGTGGAGAGAAGACATAAGCATTTCATGGTACTGGTAGTGGTAGCTACATTTACTGAAAGCTTACCATGGGCTAGTCACTATGCTAAGGGCTATGCAAGGAATTTCTCTTCAAATCTTCACAATAAACCTAGGTACAATAATCATCACCATTTTATAGTTGGTCAAACTATGGCGTAAAGAGGGTACATAATTTGTCTGCGGTAACAGTTCATCCATGGTCACATAATTTAGCAAGTGGCAGAACTAGGATCTGAGCCCAGGCCATTTGGCCCTCAAGCAAGGTCGCTTCCATGGAGCGTATCTTTCTCAAGAAATTCTTCAGGTGCCTGATGCCATCAAACACCAGGAAGCGTCAGCAGAGTGCCAGCAGTCAGGAAAGGAGAAACTGAGGTATTAAAGGACTCTGGACTGGAAGTGGTAGAGGATGGTCCTGCTGCAACAAGGAAGCCCAGACTGTTCCTGTCCTTAAGCGACTTCTTCAGCTACCACCTCCCCTGCCTTCCACTTCAAACACGAACTAAAACTTTGTCCACAGTGCACTTGCTCAGAAAAGAGAAGTTTGAGAAATAGCTTGTTCCATCAGTCTCAGCCAATGGAAAGGTACTGGGGAGAAGGGACACTTCCGAATTGGGAAGAACAGCAAGCTAAAAGCAACATTTCAAAGTTGACTTTCTTCTTCATTCGCTGAGGGAGGCAGGCACTAGGCCGGTTAGGGTGCTCTCAGGGTGATACACACAATGCGAAGTGCAAGTGATTTAGAATCAGAAGACGAAGGGTCCAGTCCTGGCATTATATCTCTAACTAGTTGTGTAACCCCAAGTAAGTCGTTTGTTCTCTCTCAGGCTCAGTTTCTCCTGTCTGCTGAGGATAATTCTATCATCTTGTCCACAGAACTGCTGAGGGGGTCAGACGAAACGGTGCGTGTGAAAGTATCTACACACTGTGAAGTGCAATATATCTGTTAGATATCTACGTTATTGCCTCAAAACACTGTACCTGTCGCACAGGTAGCACCTACAGGACCTTCTCAGAGCACAAAGATATTTAGTAAAGCCCTCACCATCCGTCATGTACTCTGCTCCAAACGGCCTGTGCCAAGGACAAGCCGAGATAGGCCAGACACATGACTTCTGCTTGAGGTTGTTGGCAAGATCCCTACAACTTGGCCTCTTCCCCACCACTGCCCTCTTAGCTCTGACCTCCCTCAATTCAATAAATCTTACAGACCTTCCGTTATGGGGTAATTAAAATTTGGAAGGCCCTATAAAATAACTCCATAACGGGATTCCAGTCCAGACAGGCCATTGTCACCTCTGCCAGGCTGGCTTCTCCTCTTACCATCTGGGTCTCATCTAATCGGACTATCCCCATACCCCATCTCCATCCCCCTCCACACATGCCCACCCAGGCCTCCTTCCGGTCTTCCTCTGCCTTCGTTTACGCACAAACACAGAGGCTGCTCTGAGGCAGGCGCCGGGTTGGGTG